GGAGCCGGCTGGGAACAGAGGCGTAATCCCAAGGGTGCACCTTGTGCTGACACAGCAGGGCAGCAGGAGCTGCGTTTCTGTTTGAAATCACATAGTTCAGGACACTAAAACCTCCTGTACCGGTGGCATTACCTAAGTAGAAGGCGCTTTGTCTAACCAGACCAACGTACCGTCCTAGCAGGGCGTTTTTGCTATTTCCAAGAGATCAGAGCAGCAATTAAAGCAGCAAACTTTTCAAGCAGGGCCTTAATTAAATGAGGGTATGTGCTCACTGAATCAAGGCCCTCAGGTGTTTTCCAGTCATGCTTTTCTGCCAAAGGATGAAATTACAGGCAAAGCTGCTGCTTTATCACATTGCTGTAGGGTCACCCTCAGCTTGAAATAAAGTCTCACCTCTTGCAATTTGTCGCAAGCAACAGCAAAGCTTACAGTGGCTGGGAGAAGGGCTGATTTCTGCTGCTGTCTGGGGAGGTGTGCTCTTTCAAGTCCATACAAGTTGTAAAATTAAGATAAAATTTCAAAATCTTCCAGAGCCAGTGGGGTACTGGGAAGCAGTTCCCAGAACTATCTGTAACTTGACTTAAGAAAAACAGACCAGATTGCAGATTGACTCAGCTCCCACCACTGTTTTCACTTCCCTTTGAGCTTCTGCATTTCGCAGTTACTTGTAACACCCAGGTTTTGGACCATTTTTCTCCCACCATCTGGGGATTTGAGCCAAATTCAGCTGGATGCAGAGAACAGCTGGTCTTGGTTGAGAAAGGTATTATCATCTATCAGCGTTTGAGATGGCATCCCTAGAGGACATGTAGTTGCAGCTACAGTGTTCGGGGGGATCTTGAGGAGTTCCCATCCGGTCACAAAACTTGCTGGACCTGGAAGGATGGCACAGATCGTGACAGCTTTCAGAGTCCTCTCATTCTGAAGTAGGTAGAGCTCCTTCAAAGCACCTCCAAGCTAAGGCAGCTGAGACTGGCTAAAACAACAATTACACTTACGAACTGATCTCGCTACAATGAGCTTCCTATTCTGAGCCAGCTTCCACCTTTGCTTTCAGCAGTTCCCTGGCTCAACAGGAATAAGCAACTCGTTCCAATCCGACGACCAACGACCTGGGAAATTTATCTTTGCATTGTGTCTGCACATACTGCATCTGGGCAACACATGGAGATTTACCAGTTTCATTTCTGCAGCCAGTTTCTCCACTACTTTTTGTTTCTGGTTCTCAGCACGAGCCTCACAGCACAGATAAATTCACTGAGTTAATCTGATTCCAGCTGAGCTCTTTTAAAGTAAGTCTATTGAAAATAGAAAATCCCTTTCTATTACCATTACAGCTAAGAATACTTTTTTCTTTTTTTAAAAACACACAAATAGGAGAAATTGGAGCAAAACTGAGCTATTAAAAACATTACCAAACTTCCATTTTACATAGCAAAATTTAGAAGGAACAAATTTGTTCTGTGCTTTTTTGACGAAGTACCTAAAGTGCTCAAAAGCACCAGCAGCCCTGACTAAACACACACAGCTCTGAGGCTTGATGCGACGTATAGATCCCCACGTCTGGCGTGACGGCAGAGAGCGGCAGTGTTTACCGGGTGCCGGGGAAGTTTTTTTTTCCGACGGATGGCTGCTGTGGCACAGCTCCTGCACCCCCTCTGGGCTTGCAAATGGCTGCTTTCATACACGGGCTGTAAACAATCCTTGAAAGCCCAAGATCATGTGCTGAGGGTCATCCGGCCAAGCAGAGACGGCCAAGGAAGCTGCGGTGCTCCGGAGAAGCGCCTCGCTCCATCCCTCCGCAGAAGTGCACTCACGGTGCCCCCTGCCAGGTCCTCTCCCCTCCCCCTCGCCGGATCCTACCTGCCCACTCCCTGTCCCCGATGATGACCCTGTTGCAGAGCTCGCACACGCGATGACTCCGTTTGTTCTCGTTTACATCGCACTCCATCCTCACAGGCTCTGCTGGGGGCTCGCGTCCCTGTAGATCAAATAACGCCTCAAATCGGTTTCTGCTATGACAATCGGCTTGGCTGTGTTCACTTGGGTAGAGTTTGGGATGTGAACTGGCCATACCCAGACACCACGGTCAGCAGGACAGACACTGCAGTTTCACCATGCAAGACATGCGGAGTACTGGGCATGAGGAGAAGTTTTCAGCTTAGACAACCCCCTGCCACTGTGAGGAAAGCCCAAGGCTGGACACACAAGCAGACAGCCCTGCTCATGGGAGAGACTAAATGCCAAATGATGGGGCCTGGAGACTACCGAGAAGCTGGCTTCCCTGTCACGGCTCATGTGTTAACTCCAGTTGCCCAGTACCTGGATGAAGCTCTCCACAATCTCCAGAGCAGGTTTCAGCACGTCCTCCTCCCACCGCAAGAGATCAGACACTTCCAAGCCGTACACTGGGGGCACGTTGGGCCCAGGACCTAAGGAGACACAGAAAAAAACGTCACCGCCAGAACCCCTCCAGCATCATGTCCCAGCACCCACAGGGCAACGCGGGGATCCGCTCTTTCCTATCTAGCTGTCCTTTAGCATTCAGAAGCCAACAGCACCAGCCTTTCTGGAGCCAAAATCACCAAAGGCCTCAGCTCAGGGGGCACCAGCCTCGCAAAGAGCAAGAACACCCAAGAACTCCAGCGAGCATCTTCACGGTTGTCTGCCTTCAGGACAGCATTGCGAAATCCAAGCACGCCAACAGCCCATCGCAACAACAAACGCTTCCTCGCAGCAGCCGTGGCCCACGGGAGGCCGCAGAAGATCAAAAAGCTAAATCCAGGCACGAAGCTGTCCTGGGTTACAGTGTAAAATGTG